TACTACCTAGTGAAGCATTCCGATGTTGGCTGGCACCAAAATTAACTTACTATTATTAACCCTATTACTGTAAATAATATCATTAAATTTCCTATTTTTTAATGGTTTTATTTTGTATTTGCAAATACCTAAACGAAGTACTCGTTCAAACCTCTTAGAATTGTCTTTTTTATATTAAGTCTTAGTATTTAAAGATCTTAGGTAATGCAGCTTTATTCACATAATAATTTGATTTTCCCAGTGATTTTTACAATAATGTTTTTCTCTGGCGGCGGGTTAAGTACATCAGGCTTTCCAGCCGACAATAGGACGATTCGGTAAATGGGGATTTGACTTGGTATGTAGCACCAAATTCGTGTACTTACATCCGCCGGAACTTTCGGTGTCGCGCGACAGCAAAAGTTCCCGTGGATGTACACGAATTTGGTGCTATCACTGCTATCATAGCAGTGCTATGTACGGTGTACCGGGCCAATCCCTTAAGGACAGCTTAAACGTTTCGGGTGATAAAATACAAGCTGAGCACGGATGAATATCGGCTTATTGCGACTATCTCAGATTTTTTTATCAGAATAATGCAATATGTTGCAACATGGTTAGAACACAAGCTGTCTCCCTGGAAATTTGCAAATTAGTAAGCACACGAGCGTGAACCCGCCCATGTTAGTCCAATGGCATCCATGGTAACAAGCTTTTGAGTGACCACTGGACTTGAGGTTCTGCAAACTGGCAACGACGATTGGTCTTAGAACACCCGCGTGATCGGGAGGTTTCTGAAGCATTTTAAAGCAGGAAAATTGAATGAGTAGAAGCTGAGATCACCGGCGCCAAAGGAGAGGGGCCGAAATCCTGGCGCAGATAGTTAGTATTCATGTAACTATGTACGATAATAATCAAAGTAGATCACTATAATAAACAGGATGCAAAAAGGTTTGCCTATAAGAAACAAGGGTTTTAGGGGGTGCCTATGACAGTTTCCTTTTTTTAATTGTGTTTAATTATATAAATTAAAAAAAGTAGCACCATATTGCAGGCTTAAAATTTTTACTTACTACTTAGGTGACGGACGTTACCGATGTGACCGTGATGCGATGTGATGTGATTTGATGTCGTGATCTTTCAGTGTGTGTGCATCCTCCTTTTTCTACATGCATAAATGTACCTCCATCTCTCGCAGTGACGTAGTCGGTGTCGGTATCAGCTTCATATTATAGCTAAAGGCGGATGATATGCTCAGAACTTTCGCGCATTCATCAATCACTGTTTACATTAATAACATTATTTTTTGAATTTTTGTCTCCTGTAACTCCCCAAACGAATGTTTCGCGGCCGAACGATTTTTCACCTGAATTTCGTACAAATCATTTGACTACGCAAAAGCGTGTTTGGTGGTGCGCAGAAGCAGAAGCTCTCGTTTAAGTCCTCGGGCTACAGTACGGACGTTTCTGTGCAGTTCCCGTTGATACATATCTAATGAGGAAGCGGGTTTATCAACACACATAAATTAGACGGCTACAAAATGCCATTGCTAAACCCTGGCTTCCATTCAAAAAATTTCTATAGACCTTTGGTCGATAATTTGAACTTTACTGAACTTTCACGTGATCACTCAATCTTCCTTGACAGGACTGGCAGTGGCAGTACTTTACATGAAATACTGACTTTTCATCGATTCACAGATTCACGGCATCTGGGAAGTAAATAGTTCTGGCAGTACTTTACATAAAGTACTGACTTTTCACCAGTTCACGGAATTAGGTATATGTGGATGGATGCACACTGTGCAGTACTTCACACAAAGTACTGACTTTTCACCAATTCACGGAATTAGGTATATGTGGATGGATGCACACTGTGCAGTACTTTGCCCAAAGTGTTGAATTTTAAACACGAATTGACGGCATACGGGATTGCTCTTAACACAAGAGCACTTAAAATAGATGCTGCACTGAACAACGTGCGGCGTACGTGTACCAAAACTCGTAAGTGCACTGAAAACTGATTTTGTACGACTTATTCAAGTGCAGATTTTGGCGTACAGAGTTTTCATCAAAATGAAAAACTCCTGCGCATAGCGTTGACCTATATTTCTCTAATTATTGTTTGGTTCGATACCGGGTATGAGGACCACGGTATAATTATTCAGATATTTGCAGGTAAAGGCAATCAATAGTTATTAAATAATTTTAGACATTTTATGCAATTATTCACTGGTTTCGTGTAATAATTTGCCAACGGTTCAATGGCAGTTATCAACCGTGTCGATTGCGCGCTGAATTGCTTCAATACACCGTAGCGCCGATGGTCCCATAATCAGATATTTGAACTTAGACTTTGGTGGGCAAGGTTCGTGGCCGTGACCCATTTCTAATGCCGGTTGGTACAACATACAACGTAATCTGCATAAACACTTCGTTTTTCACTAATTTTAATATGCTGGTTTCTCACGACTCTGATAGCAAATATTGTTGTTAATTGAACACCGGCGTACTCAGCGGGAACGGTAAGGAACGGCGGGAATCTGATTTCGATTTCTTGATTTGCAAGCATTTGCAGTTAATACGTCCTCATTCGTGAACAAAATTTTGATGTACAAATGTGCTGAACTAAAAAACGGAACTATAAAGCTAGTGGAGACGGTTGGAAACGGTATAGCAACTTGCGCTGGCCTGACACGGGCGAAAGAACTTTTTATACAGCGAATATCTATCCAAATGCAACGGGGAAGCGCGATCTGTGTAATGGGTACGATCCTCGATCAGGATAGCATAGAGGAAGTGTTTCTGTTAAAAACGCTGTTTTGTTTTGGTACTTGGTTTGTACTCCCACTATGATACTTAATAAAGGTTCTTAAACAATGTACTGAATAGGATGTACATTTTGAAGTTCCACATACTCAATAGAAATTGTTTGGCCACACCCCTCAGGCATAAAGCCGCTACAGTATTATATTTTTCCATAAATATTGGTTTCTGAATCTGGATTCGGCTCGTAAAATGCAAGGTATCGAACAGTTAGTTAATTATCGAAAGTAGCACTTAATTTAAGGCATTATTATGCAGTAAATTGTTGGTTTGATCATGATGTAATAATGGACCAGTGGCTGCAGTTAGGCCACTGAGGAGAGCGCTTCGTTGTATTATAACGCCGAAGGCCGCATAATCAGTTTGCCAACTGCACTTCGAGTTTTTGCGCAAGGTTCGGGCTGTGAACCTGTTTTCCGACAGCGCTTGGTATAGTTTAAGAGGAAGGTTATCTCCCGACTTTAACTATACAGTCCGCTATTGCGACTGTTTACTCGTGTGGTGTCTGCGCTTGCACTGGCGCCATTGAAATTTGATGGCCATTGTAAACTTTATCAGCTTTAAATCTTTCAATTGTCCTTCTAATCAGCGCTCGGACTTCGAGCTTTTCATTTATTCGCTTGTCGCTTGTCTGCGTTGCCGCAAGTATAAATCAGCAGAAGCAATCATTAAACCGAACGTCTTTGCGAGCCAGACTGCTGCACACTTCGGCAGCACCAGTACACCACATTTCATGTTTTGCAGTAAATCAAGACAGTGGAAAATAATTACTACGCTTGCTCTTTCAGTAACAAAATCATCCTGCTGAAACAAGCGCTCGGACATGATGCACTGTTGGCCGTATGTCGGAGATGCCGGTTCCCCTGTTGGTTTGCACTGTATACTAGGGGGGTGCCACTATCTCCGACGTATGTGACGACAGCAACGAGACCAGATGCAGCAATTTGGCCATTTTTTCACAGAGAATTCAGTTTCTGAGGATACTTTAAATTTTCTTAAATTTCAGTCAGTTCAAACCTACCCTACTGTTTAAGCCGGTCATCGAAACCGGTTCACGGGTTTGCGATTTTTTTCATATATATTTTTTAAATTTTTTTATGGAAAAGTTTTGATGTTATGTGTAGTTTATGCTTATCAGATGTTTATCATCATAATCTTTTAAGTTTTCAAACCAATTAGAAACTCAGCCTTGAAGAGAAATTAATATGCCAAAAACAGGTTGTAGTTAGAGTGACCAAATACTGTACATATCAGAAATTTCGAAATATTTTATATACGAATGACGACATTGCGGTAAATAAAACGTCAGGTTGTCGGATGCAGTTTGCATAATATTATAAGATTTATAGGTAATTTCAACAAAATCCTGCAAATGGTAAACAGACCACGATAACCGATACTGTACTGTCCATAATTTACTCGTACAAGATGTTCTAGCTAAAACACGGAGTTTCAGTGGATGTTTTCGTATTTGAATGATTTCATTATTAAATTACGGATATGTAGCACACAAAGTTAACGAAATCCCATGGCGACGGTATACGTCGAGCAACAGACATAACTCAAAGGTCATAAGCAAAGGCGCTTTCTCAGGGTCACAGACTCCCGTGGGCACGGTTATCGTTGCACGTTGTCAAATCGCAGCGGTGCACCATAAATTTTTTTATCAGATTCAGCGGCGTCTTTCGCGAATATTGTAGAAATGTGCAGTCAGTCTTGGACGAATTCAAGTTAAGAGGAGTGCGCCGATACCCGGTACATGTACGCGAATTTGATACCGTGTACCGGCACACGTCCCTTAACTGCAATATACAGCTTAGGACAAAATGGTCGCATACCCACCCAAAATTTGTAAAGAAAAACCAAACAGAGAACGACAGAAAAACAACCAATGCGCACAAATAAATCTCCATAGACTCGTATAGTAGCTCTACCACCGCAACTGGTGCAAATCACAGTATCACATATCAGACTTGCTGCGTGCCCCGCCATTATAGAGGCACGCGTTTAGACGATTTTTCAGAGAATTAATCAAACTTTTGCAATATTCTGGAGTACACACTTCTTCCCAAGCATCTTCTATCAAAGGTTCTAATTCTCGTAAGTTTTTCGGGAATTTCTGCGCCATGACGTCTTTCATTTGCCCCCAGAGATTTTCGATCGGATTCTAGTCAGGCGATCTTGCTGGCCACGGCATCACGTTGATGTCTTCCGTCTCGAAGAACTTTTCATGGCTGCGGAGGTGTGACACGGTGCATTATCCTGCTGGTAAGTGAGATCGCGACCGTTTGCGTCCAGGTAAGGAAGGAGTTGGTCGAACAACACCTCCTCATACTTTTCGGAATTCATTATCCCCTGGAATCGCACCAACGCAACTCGGCCTGCTGCGCAGATCGCACCCCACACTGCAATTCCTCCCTTATTTTGGCGTGACTGTTTGATTTGGAGGTTTATGGCTGTTTGGTCTTCTTCGGCTGTTGTTTTTCTCGGTCTTCCTTTCTTATTTTTCACCTTGCGTTCACCCGTTTCTTCATCGTACTGATGCAGCACCCTGATCACCCAGCTTTGCGATTTTCGGACATATTTGCTGACTTTCGTTCAACCGCGTTCTTTATCGTACAAGGTAAAAACAGTTTTGACTAAATCTGCATCAATATAATTATCTGCCGCGAGCCATTCTTCCGCAATATTTTACGGAACGAGTGAAATGAACAAAAAGAAAACAAAGCAGAAACGAAAGTTGAAAGTTAAATGAAATCAACAATATATTATATTAATTTGCTTGAGCCGACGGTCAGTCGACAGCCGGAAGTAGTTTTGAACAGAGCACGGCCAGTTGCGCACTGCGTACTTTTGAACAGCGAATGGCCGTTTACGCATTATTTTGGGTTATGGGCCTATGCGACCATTTTGTCCTAAGCTGTAGTCTGCATATGTTCAAACACTTCTATATAAATCGCATGCCAATCGCCTGCACATTAGTGATTGGTTTGCATCCAAAACCTGTCAACTGCAAGCGTACTTAGCCTTTCTTCGCGATTTCCTGTGGTATGGAATACTTCTGAGTTAGTATAAATTATTTGATATGCTATTTATCTGGCATATGCATGTAACATTTTTAATTAAATGCAGAGGATAGATACCAAAAAGTGCAATAAAAATTAAAAAGTGTACAATCTGCTCAACGAAACCAATTAAATAACGCAATGGCTCCTCGTCCATAGTCCCGGGCGAACATCCACCGCCTATTTAAATAAATCACAATCGGGTCAATGAAACTGCTGTATGCACTACTATAAGTGTAAATATGCTGATAGCCCGATCCACCACAGGGTTAAAAATTTCTTATTGCGCAAACGTAATGTTAGCCTACAAACTCTTCCGTGTGTTAAAATAAAATAAAAATACGTCAGCGTTTCGGGGGAGAAAAATGTTTATATTTTCTTAAAAAAACATTGTTTATATTTTTTTCCAAAATGGCAACAGCGGCGATAATAGTGGTATTCCGTGGCACAGTCCACAAACCACTGACAAAACATATACACCTGAAGTTTACACGGACGAAATTTGCGATACTTTACTATTTCAGATTGCACGGTTTGTGTTCCATTCGGCTACGGTTCCATATGGAACCCGTCACCGCACGACGCTAGGTTAGAGCTGCTAACGTCGCGAACGGACGTAAAACAACCCGGAACCGAACGTAAAAATTATCCGCCTTACGCGGATGCTTGCAACGGCTCAGATACATGAGTGAATGGCAGGCCAGTGTATGCTGCCCGTGGACCTTTTTTGAGCATTCAGACCGCCGACCGTTGGCAGGGTGGTCACGTCCTCGCGCGCACTCGACTCGACTAATTTTTTCGTTGCTGTACGTGACCAAAGTGTAACAGCACAAAGTTCTGAAGCAGTTTTCATTCTGCTAACGTACTGCTTATCTGGCGCCGTGCGATTCTGTGTACGGAGCTTCTACCGTATGCAATCCGGAATAGGCTACCGGCTGGTACGGCAAACGAACCTCCCAACCTTACTCTTACTCAATACATTCAACGAGCCTTCGTTTCCTATCGGGCGCAAAGATCAGTTGATTGTCTTCTGGCGATTTTTTGTCCCATGCTTTCATTCGCTTGCCGGTTGTCTGAGTTGCCATTAGTATAATTCAGCAGAAATACTTTGTAGTCATTAAACCGCGCTTCCTGCCAGGCAGAGTATCTGTACTTCACGGTTCAGCAACATCAGTACGCCGCATTTCGTGTTCTGCAGTATGTTATGTGTAAAATATTTACTGCGCTTGCTCTAACCATAGCAAAAAAGAATCCTGCTGCAACAAGCGCTGGGATATGATGCAGTGTTGACCCTATGTCGGAGATGCCGGGTCCCCTATTGGTTTGCACAATCTACCAACGGGGCCCCCACGTCTCCGATGTGTGACGACAGCAACGAGGCCAGATGGACGTATCGGACAAAAATGCAGTAACTGTTTAAATTTGGCCGCTGTTTGTCAGAGCCATCGATTTCTGAGGACACTTTAAATTTTCTCATATTTCACAGTTCACTCCTGTTGCTTAAACCGGTCATCGAAACCGGTTCACGTTTTTTGTGATCTGTTTCATATTTTTTCAAATTTTTTTAATGAAAATGTACTTAGGTTCTGTGTAGATATGCTTAGATGTTTATCATCGTTATCTTTTTAACTTTCAACCAATTATTTTTTTCCTAAAGCTTCGCATTGATGAGGTATTAATGTAAAAAATGAATTGGTTGTAGTCAGTGCGGCCACAAGCCGCCAAATGCCTATCAGAAATTGCAAAATACCTTCGACCCGAATGATGGCATTTCGGCCGATAAAACGGCAGGTTGTCGGATACAATTTGCATGATAGATTAATATGTAATTTCAACAACATCCTGGACATGGTAAATAGATCGCGATAACCAGTGACGTGTGGGACTAGGATCACACGCCGGACGTACGTACGGATGCTGACTGTCCGCCTTCCACCTACAACATAACGGATAATCTAGTCAATCTCATCTGTGATTTGCTGTTCTCTTTTACTAGCGAATGTATATGATGTCATAACGCGAAGTCTATATAAGTTCATGTCGCCACTAATATCGGCAATCAGTAGTCTGAGATTTACTTCTGAGACTGCTTCTAATTATGATTTCCTAGCGTTGTGAACTGTGATGTGAATTGGATAAAGAGACAGCAATACTTGTTCCTTCTGATGTACATGATCGCTCCCGGATTATTGCATAGAATACAGGTTTGCTCGTGACACAATCGTCCTAGCTCTTGCCGATCCTCACAGGACTTACGACCGGAAGTTGTGGTTAGCGTCTTCCCGAGGGATTCCTGAGTTCCCGTGTTCCTGAATCGTTTGTCGCTTCTCCACCATAATTCTTCTGTTACAGTTTGAGAGTACGAGTGCCTACCGACTGACATTTACAGGCGTGGAAGAGTAAAGATTGTTCATGGAGCCTTAATCGGCGTGAACGCTTATACACGACATGGCGCCCACCGGTGTCTTTTAATTTTCCCGATGTAACAGAAAATTATTGGTGGAAAGTGTGATGGTAATTTACTGGTAAAAGTGGTCCGTTTTTGAAAGGCGTCGAACCGCAAAGGTACGCCGAAGGAGGTCAGCGTTCCGATCTGGCCTGGTTAATTTATTTTCAGCGAGCTTCCTCGCAATTGTAAGCTTCCTCACTGGTGAGCTTCCTCGCCAATTAAATTAAGTTTAATTAAATTGGACCGTAGGATTAAACAGTCGAAACCTTAAAGGTCGGCTGTGTAATTAATCAGTATCGGTGCGGGTAATTTCCGGGTTGTCTGCGCAAAGCAGTAACCGCGGTGAATAAAAGTGTAATCTGCAGTGTCAGTGTACCTGGCTTGCAGATAAATCAGATAGTGAGTTCCGAGCCATTGTCAGTGGCCAAGTGAGATAACGATCTCCAGCAGCTAGATAAAGGCAAGCCGCAAGCGGTAGCCAAAATCAGCAGCTAGAGAGAGTTGACCGTGAAAAAAGGTAAACACCGGCAAACGGTGATTGACCTGTGAATTTTAAATTACTGCAGCACGCAAAGTAATTTAGGAATTTGTTACAGTCGAAACCGCAAAGGTCGGCTGTGTCTAAACTCACTGAACAATTCAAACCTAAAAGGAGGATTGGGAAGTGACGTAGCAGTAATTGCACAATTGCAATTTCGGAAACAGTAGCACAATCGCTGCTGTGTGTAATATTTTAATTAGCCGCAAAGGTTAATTTAAAATACAAGCAGAAATGTCGGGCGGTTCGATTCCCAAAAATCGCCCACCACCGCGTAAAATTCCTGATAATAAGGTGATCTTCGGAGCGTATGATGGGTCGAGAACTCAGACAAGGTTTAAATTTAATGCGAAAGAAATCCCATTAAATTTAATGTATATCGCCCTTAATGTCGAACCACCAGAAGCACAAGATGCATTCTGTGGGAAGTCATGGATTGTATATCAGGAAATTAAACGGATTATTAACTCCAAAACAAGATTACCGGCCCATTTCAAACCTTGGATCGAGTATGAGGGATGCATCCCCGAAGCTTACCTGGACATAACAGATGAGCAGTTTAAAATGGCGTTACAAGATGCAAACAAATGGCTGCCAGAGTACATGGAAGATTTGGGTAGACGCAGATTAGAGGCGCAAAACGCGCATGCAGCGTCTAAGGCGACGGGGAAAACTCCCAGAAAACAGGCGGCGAATGAGCGAGTCACGCGAGGTGCCAAGGAGAAAAATTCGGCCCAGGCGTCTGGTGCGATATTAGACGAACCCATATCGGAAACTCCAAGCGTGGCTGAGAGCCAGACAGAACCCCAGTCGTCCCAGTCGGACAATAACCTGATAGCCTCGTCAGCTGCGGATAAAGCGGATATTTCCGAGGGATCTGAAACAAGAGCAAGTAAAAGCATCCGTGGTGGAACAATGACATTCCACCCGGCACAACTAAAATTATATAGTTTTGTGTCTGAAAAAGATTTTGAACAACCCGATGAAGACTTTCTTACTCAAGCTAGGGAAGTCGATGAGCAGTTAGCTGCGGCAGAAACCGATCAGGACGTTGGCTTGATAGTTCGGCAAACTATGCCCGTATTGATCCAAAGTCTCCGCACTCTTATCGCATCTACAAAAACAAAAGTAGATGAAATGGGTAATACAATGTCCTTGGACGCCCGCGTCGATGAGGAACGAAATGAAAAATTAAAGTTCCAAAACGATTTCAATGAAATGCGTATTAAATTCGAAAATGAACAAACAGAAAATGACAGATTGGCCAACGAAATACGCATTGCGAATAATAATCTACATGATGTTCGACAAGCCAACAGAAATGCGGAGGTCGCGTTCAACGCTATGAAAGATGAGCGCAACACCTTAACAGACACGAATCGTAATTTGGAAAAACAGTTGGAAAACGCTCAGAGAGATCTTTCAAACGCAAAAGCTACGATTGATGGTCTCAGTGCTCAACCAACACCTGATACGGCGAAACAAATTGCTGATTTAGACCAAAAATTCAATAAAGCACTGAGGGATTTGAGTGCCGAA